TTAGGAGCTAGTCACAAACCCAGGTTATTATTAACTGTGCATCTGATTGATTAGCTGCAAATCAATCAATATACCTTTGACTCCCTTCTCAGGTTTTTTGGTTGAGTGTTGGGGAGCCAGACCTGGTAGTGTTCAGGTCTTACTCCTGACCCTGAGCTCAGGAATCACCTGAAATCAAATCCAGACTTGGTTCAGACAAGGCAACTACTTACTGCTATGCTATCTCTTTGTCCCCCGATTTTAATTTGTTTTTAGGGAGGTTTCATTACATTGCCATGAATGATTAAATCACTGAAAGTTGGCAATTGAACACAACTTCTTCCCAGGTCAGGGTCATGGAGAACAGAGAAGTCTTTGCATCGATTCTTATTTTCTCTGATAAACAGCCTTCATCCTCAGGTGTTATCTAATAGTTATTTTCATCAGAATAACAACACCTCTAACACTCAATACTACTGATTTTCAGCCTTTCAGAAGATGTGAGCCAGGAACTGTGGATGGTTAAGTCCAGAAGTACAAAAGAGAGACTAGAGGAAATATGTTGTCAAACACTGTTAATGTTATAAACATGATCAAAATAGAACTAATATAAGTCACAAAAATTTGGAGTTTGAGCATAGAGAATGGGAGAAATATAATGCTAATTATCTCATTTTGCAGAGCAAGTCAATTGCCCTATTAATCAAGAAATACAGGTTTTCTGATTTCCTATTTACATATTTCCTTGCCCTAATTCTTTGGCTTATTTTTCATCTTTGCTGCCTTTTCCTTTTATACTTCTTTTTAAAAACCAATATGCATTGAGCATTAATCTACATAAACTGAATACTTAATAAATGTGGTTGAAGTAATTTTGCAGATTGCATGGTACTGTAAATTGTATGAGCATTGGGAATGTGTTTTATTCATCTTTGAATTCTCTTAGCAACTGGCATAGGGAATTGCACATAGTGGACTATCAATAAATATTTTTGAATTAATGAATTAATTTTTTTGTTTCATATACATTTTGTTGCTAGTACAATGCCTGAAAACTGGCAGGAAATATAGGAAAAATCAGTCACAATTGGTGCATAGAATAAAGCCTATTACCTATATCTGAGAGACTTATTATGCATGCTTCTAATGCTTCATTCTATTGTTTTTGGAATGCATCTCCCCCCCTCACCCTCAGCAGTAATCTCCTCTTGCTCTAATTTAGTAATTTATACTGCTACCAAAATGATCATTTCTAAGTACATATTTGATCCTGTCACTTCTCAGCTTTATTATTATTATTTTATTTTTAAGCAAAGCAAGGTAGTTTTTATTGAACAAACCTTGCTTAGAAAGATGTGAGAGGAAAGGAGAGGAAATGTGTTCAAGAGAGAACATTGACTTATCCAGAGTAGAAATAAACAAGGAAACATTAGAGACAGGGATCAGAGAGATAGTACAGGGGTAGGGCTTTTGCCTTGTATGCCAGGTTTCATCCCTAGTATCCCAGATGGTTTCCAAAGCATGACAGGAATCATTCTTTGGTGCTGAGCTAGGAGTAACCCTTGATGACTGCTGAGTGTGGCCACCAAGTTAGCAACGAAAAGAAATATAGAAACAAGCAAGCAGGACACGAAATTGAATAGCAAGCCTCTGCTCTAAAATCTTTAGTACATTCCCTATGGGCTGTATTCACAACAGAGTCCAAATTCATAAGTAAGGTATTGAAGGATATTTGAGTTGGTCTCAGTTCATCTCTTTTTCCCAGCTAATGCATCCCACATTCTCTTTACCTAAGAAGTACAAACTTCTTGGTTTGTACATTCCCTTTTCTTAAACTTTTGGGCCTATATCCTTTGTATTTTAGAAAGTAGTCACAGAGTAAATGTTCAAAAACTGGAGGGCCAGGGAAATTGTTCTAAGGACTGGGTTGGATCCCTAAACTGCATGGTCTCCTGAGCACCACTAGCTGTGTGCCTCCCTCTGCCCCCAAATATTTGCAGTTTGGAATTTTAAAAAGCACACACATTTCTTCTATCACCATATGAAAATACTTCCTACACATAGTTGGGGCTAAATGAAAAATCCTAAGGATTGAAAGAAGATAGAAAAGCTTCTTCTTCTTCTTCTTCTTCTTCTTCTTCTTCTTCTTCTTCTTCTTCTTCTTCTTCTTCTTCTTCTTCTTCTTCTTCTTCTTCTTCTTCCTCTTCCTCTTCCTCTTCCTCTTCTTCTTCTTCTTCTTCTTCTTCTTCTTCTTCTTCTTCTTCTTCTTCTATTGAATCACTATGAGATACAAAGCTTTCATGATTAGTTTCATTCATAAAATGATCAAACACCTATCCCTCCACCTGTGTACATTTTCCACAACCAATGTCCCTAGTATCCCTCCTGTCCTCACCCTCCTACCCCAACCCCATCCACTGCCTCTATGACAGACAATTTCCAAAAAGCTGTGTCTTAAACCTTATCTGGTTTTCAGTTCTGATAAAGAGAAGATTTGAATGTTTTTTTCAGAGGTCATCTGCTCTGGCATAACAACATTGTTTAACTACTCATGTAGTAACATTATATATATGTACATATATACATATATATGGAAAGCTACAAAGTGATCATGAACTGGTAGATGCTTTAGACTGAGAAACTAAATTCTCTGTATTTGCAAATCTCTGCAGGAGGGGCCACTGCTTCAAAGGATTTTGATGCAGGGTAGTATGGGACCCTTTCTTTTCACTTTGTAGATTGACTATGTATGTGTCTCTTCATTTGTTGTTTCTGCAGAGGAGTGAAAGTATTTCTCTGAGCTCTGCTCTTATGTCAGAAATTGAGATCTAAAGGATTCATAGGCATGGACCTCACTGCTTACTTGCGCGAGTATTATTATGAAAAGGAACTGGGCTGGATTTTGAGGAGGATCTATCCAGACTCACATGCAAAGACTGCAGAGCTCAGTTTTTGTGAGAAATATGCTGGTATTAGACTATTACATTAATCATGGATTAGCTAGGTCAGAGGTCAAGGTCACAGTCTTGGGGATAAAAGGTGCAGTTTCTTCTTTAAAAAGTAGATAATCCTGTGTTTGACCTAGGGGGATACAGCACCTGATTATTTACATCTATGGTCATACTTTTTTATATGACTGTATTCAGCCTCACAACTTAATCTGGATTTATGGTGCTTTGTCTTTTAACAGATGCTTATTTGTATAAATTGTTAAAGATGTTTCTTTAACATCATACTATTGCCCTCCACCCCCACCCTGTGGTCTTGCAGATTTAATGACAACTCTTGCCTTGAACAAAAGTGAAAGATAAAGGCAACCCGTCTTTCATGTTCTTCTGCCAATCTACCTGCTAGGGCATTGATGTAAAGGCATTTATATCTGGCTTTATGACTCAAATACTTGTGGACTTGTTACAGCCATTGATTGCCGAGAGGTACAATGTGGCTAATATGGGAATGGTCCAGGAACAGAACTATAATGAAGCCATAACTGAAGTAGAAAGGTGGGCCATGCAAAAACAAAGAAACACAGGGGGAAAATTCTAGAATTCAAAAGCTTAGGGAAGAAATATACTTGAAGGTTAAATGTTTCCTTAGATTAATGTGAGCTTTAAAAAATTTTTTTGGGGGGGCTTTTTGGGTCTCACCTGGCATGCTCAGGGATTACTCCTGGCAGAGCTGGGGAAACCATAGGAATCGAACCCAGGTCACCTGAGTGCAAGGTACACGCTCTACCCACTGTACTATTGCTCCCACCCAACACTTTTGTTATGTTATTCTACTTATTAACAAGAAAAGTTGAAATGAAAGTGGTAAAAAATGCATATTTCATTATTCAATTACTGTATTTCTTATAGAACTAATGTTTATGTTAGTATGATTTTTATCTTCCCTTCCATTGCAACTTTTGAGGGATGATTATGTCTTTTAATTTAGTGTTTTTTTATAAAAAATGTGAAGTCCCCCCTCCCTGGGGGCTATTCCTGGCTCTGTGCTCAGGGGGCTCTGCTGGCAGTGCTCCAGGACCATATGGCTCTGGGAACCATATGCGGTCCTTGGGGTCAAACCAGGGTCAGCCCCATGCCTGAAAGTGCCTATACATCTATATTATCTCTCTAGCCCAAGAACTTATGCTCTTTAAATATGACGTCTCCCAGGGCAAGAGACATGTTTTGCTCTTTTTGATGTATACCTTCTGACATAGGTCTAGTATTTTGTTGAGGAAGTCTGACGATCTGATAATTCTAGTTCTAAAGATGCAAGGAAAGGATCCACTGCTTCATCTGCTCACTACCTGCGGAAGGAGCAGTCTCTCCCTTTTGTTTTTTGAAAACACAAGGAAGACAAAAAAGGGTGTTAGAGGGGAGGGTTTGCTAGAGGTTAAACCTGGGTTCCTAAGAATCTCTGAGAAGCGTAAAGCTTTTGTTAAAAGTAACGTCCATAAAACAGATGCTCTCCAACATAAGAGGGCTGGAGTAGAGAGAACTGTCGGGTAGACTTGAGGGCATATCGTAGGAAGGAGCAGCTGCCTGGTCCGGAGCGGAAGGTGCTTGCGTTCTGCAGGTGCAGTGATTGCGATCTCGCCCCATCTCTGCTCCCCAAGTGGGCGGGAACCTCAGCGCTGTAGCGTGTGGGACTTGGCCTCCGAAACAGAGTATAATTGTCTTCTTAGCAGCAGACATCATTCCCGCCTGGTGCCTACACCTGACCCGGGGGAGGGGAAAGCAGCATCTAGAGGAACCGCAAAGAGGAGAAGAGCCCCTCGCTTGGGACGCCAGAGGGCCGGTCCCGCTCGTCTGTAGGGTTGTGCTTTTCCGTGATTGCGTCTCCAACCTGTCTATCACTCCATTGCGCGGATTCTATTGGCTCTAGCGTCTGCCATTCGGTTCCGCCGCGCTGGCCCCCATTGGCCCCCCTCCGGCAGAGGCCCCACCCCACGAGCTGGGCTTGGGCTGTGGGGCGCCGAGGAGCGAGCCGGGCGCTTTGCTCCCGGTTGCCGGGAGTCGGTGGCGACTGAGAAGGAGGAGGAGGAGGAGGGGAAGAAGGAGGGAGTAGCTGGAGGCAGCGGCAGTGACCCGGACTAGGGTGATGGTGCAGGTGCCCGGGGCCGGCGCGGAGCTGCCCGGCTGAGGGGCGCCTGGTCCCGGGTCCGCAACGCCGCCGCGTCTCTCCCAGGGGCGGGCGAGCGAGCGGGAAGATGCTGAGCAGGTTGATGAGCGGCAGCAGCAGGAGCCTGGAGCGCGAGTACAGCTGCACCGTGCGGCTGCTGGACGACAGCGAGTACACCTGCACCATCCAGGTCAGTGCCGCGTCGCGCCGCGACCCGGGCGCCCCCCAAGTCGGGCCAACTTGCCTCACGGCCGCCGCCGGGGAGAGGGTCACCCCAGACCCCCGCGCTTTGTCTGCCCGACTGCGGCGGGCGGCCCCAGTGCCGGGCGCCTCCGTCCCAGTCCCTAGCCCTGGGGGTCCGGGGCTCCCTGCACCGCTGCGCGGCGAGTCCTTGCGTCCCGAGCCCCCACCCCGCCCCCAGCTCCGCCCCTGTTCTCTCTTGGGAGTAAGGACACCCCTCTTTCTGGTTTCTCGAGCCCGAGTGAGTGGGCAGCGCCTTCCGCCGGAGTCCGGGGGGTTGGTGGAAAAAGATGTGCGGGCGGGAGACTCCAACCGCGGCCGCCCCGTCGGGGCATCGGCTTGGGCTCTCGGGCCCGGCAAGGACGATGGACGGGCTGCTCGGGTCGCTCTGGGCTGCAAGGATACTGGTGTATGTCATCGACTCATCGACTACCCTCCCCAGCATTTGTGAGTCAGAGTCTCGGAAGGTAGAAGTGAACGCGCGGCCCGCGCGGAGTGGCCTATTGAAGGGAGCCCAGCCCTCTTGGGCTTGAAAGCTTTAGGCAATCCCGCCCGCGTCTTCCTGTCTCCACATCTAACGTTTGTGTGGGGACAAACTCACAGATTCAGGTGGAGGGGGGTGGGCGTGAGACAAAGATTTAGCAACAAGTCCCGGCCATTTGAGGGTTGGAGCCGGTGGCGAGATGGAATCGAAGACTTATACCAAAACGCTAACAATACGATAATGAGACCGCACAGAGGGTGTTTTGGGTTTTTTATTTATTTATTTTAGAGATTTTTTTTTTTTTAAGCAGCCTCTGTTTCTGCTCGTTCACGAGTGCACTGTGGCACGTGAGAAGTAGTAGTGTTTCGCCGGAATGCGGTGCCGGCCCTTTTCTTTGCAAAGTCCGAGGTAGAAAACATTGACAATGCTCCGGTGTTTTTAGCCCAGCAGCCCACAGGAGGCTGCGCTCGCAGCTGCAACTGCTTGTTCTCTTTGGAGAGGCTAATTGAGTCGGACCTCAAGAGGTCTCACCTGATCCCTGATCTTTGCAGCAAGAGTGCAGAGGGCGCTTCTTGTTTCAGATGTGGCAGACAGCAACTGTTGGCCCAGGTCCTACTCTCATTGTCTCCTGCGCACCCCACCACCCATTTCTATTTGTGCTGACTGTGCTCAGTAGCGGAGAGCAGCGGTGTGCAAGCAAGATGCTGGAGAGTGAGAGCTGCTCTCCGCTTACTCCGAGCTCAGTTCAGCCCTGTCGTCACTTTCTCGGCTCACCCCTCAAATCCCGCTCCGGCATGAACTGCTGCCCAAGGTCCTTGAGGATAGTCAAAGAAGCTCTCTTAAATACAGTCATAAAAAACGCTAGCAATCCAGTGAAAGGTATTTTTAACTGGAAAGATAGAGACCTCGGGACCCCCCCCCCCCCCCAACACCACCATCACGCCGATTGAGTGCTAGGCTACTTTTGTTTTTATTGTATCTTTTTATGTGAGGTGCTGGGGGAGGGGTTGGGGAGGGGAGAGGACGAAATGATTGAATTGATCCATCCACTCTAGGTTGTCATAGAGCTTTAAAAGACTACCTTTTTGCTTTGAAATGGAAAGCATGTCACAATAAGATTATCTAGGGGTGTGAAAGAGACTTCATGACTCTTAAACATACTTTTGGGCTATATGGTGAAATTATTTTGGGAGCAGGCCATTAACTTTTGCCAAGATATATAATACAGTGTAACAGAATTCACATCACCACAGGCAAATGGTAATCTTTTTTTTTTTTTTTTTATGTAATACAGTAGGGCAGCTAGTGGAACCATAGAGGTTGGTTGATAGTTTTGTGGGTTTTTTTTTTTTGCTATTAAGAAAATTGTATGTTCACAGTAAGCTGAACCAACTGAATCTGTGCTTCCTATGTCTTATGACTGTTTCTTTTCTAGTTGGTTTTATTTATTCATATTGTTATACCTTAACATTGTAAAAATTTAGACCACTTAAAAAATTAAGCATGGTGTAATACATTCGTACTGCCCTGTGTCTACTGTCTAGATATATTAATGATTGTGCTTTGTGACTCTTGCATGGAATAAATAAAATAGAAATTCTAAAATATATCTAAAAGAATCATAGGAAATTAGCATTTTGTACATATAGCTTTTTTGAACATGTAGAGATTGAGATTTTCTTAGCAGATATCCCTTTTGTACATTCTATAGTGAGTGTATTTGTATGTGTACTTATTTGACAAACACTGAGTACACCATCTTTTAAATCAGTATGAAAAGGAACTGCGAGCTAATTTTTAGGTTAAAGCAATACTCACAGCAGTTTAATGATTGTAGAACCATGCATCAATTTTTTTCTTGGTGACAATTAAATTTTCCTTTCTTAAAGTTTTGTATGCTATATTCTTATTTCAATAAGATATCTATTTTAGAAAGATTTTAGCACGTCTTGAGATCATTAGCGTACACTTAAAGAATTGCGTACACTTAAAGGATCAGTGAACACTATGTTAGAGTCATAATAGGCACACTTTGTAAATTTCTGCTGTTGGAAATTCTGGCAGAGTACTGGCTAACCATCCATATTGCAGCAGTTATACTGATTAGGCACTTAGGATGTGATTATTAAGGTAGTGAAAATGCCTTATATGCTGTTAAAGAAGATTGTCACAGTTAGCAAGCTATTCTCTCACTTTTTTTCTGATATGCAAGTACATTTGTAGATCATGAGAAATGAAAGAATACATAGGATGGTTGTGGTATAATTGCTCCCCTGTGAAGAACATTGTTAACGCTCCCTGCCAGTTTTGAAGGTCATTGCCTTATAAATGCAGAGCTGGTCCATATTTTTTATACAGCTGTTTCATTCATGCATATCTATATTTACCACATTTTCTACCTCACTGTTATTTTCTTTGGGAGAAAATAGAAAAAAATAAAAAGGTTGCATCATATCATATGCACTCACTATACCAAAAAGAATCATTTACATGCTTAGGCATGTGTTACTCTGAGAAATATATTTTTAGCTATCTTTTAGGTTTAATAGTTTATTGAAACTATATATTGCAAAATGCCAGTATAAATATGCATTAAGATGTATATTTTAAAGTCAAAAGTGTTAATCTTTTTTGGGGGGCAGGGTGTTCTAAAATTTTAGCTTTATTAAAAGCACTGTTTTTTCTTCTCCCTTTTTTAAAAAAAATATGTTTTAGAGGTACGATGTTACCACAGCAAACCCACCATCAAAGTCCAATAACCCTTCACAATAGTTCACTGGACTATTTTTAGTTCCCCCAGTCCCAGTGGTACTCAGAGCTTACTTATGTTCCTGCGCGCATGGATCACTTCTGGCAGACTGGGGAACCATCTGGGATGCTGGGGATTGAACCTGGCTCTGCCGTGTGTAGGGCAAGCGTACTGTACTATCACTCCAGCCCCTGGATTGTTGTATATCCATTATACCAGTTGAAGAAACTGGGTTTGTGGATTTGTGGGAGAGCTAACATTTGTTCAGTGACTGTGCATGAAACTTTTCATGAAGTGTTTTGCTTGTACTTCATATAAACCAGGAGAGGTAGGTGGTATTATCCCCTTTAACAGGTGAAAGGCCCAGATGAAAAAAATTGCTCAAAGCTATGACTCTTAAACATACTTTTATATGACTGTATTGTATAAATGATACTTAAAACCTTGGTCTTTTGGTCTTGAAATCCTATCTTAATTCTATCCTAATCCTGTTCCCTGTATCACTTTGATTCCCTAGTCACCTCATTTCCTCGTCTATATAATGGAAATACTAATACTTAATGCCTGGAGAAAATTGTCAGGAAATGTCATTTCCAAAAAATTAGGAACATTTAGACAGACTCATATTATACTTACAATATGCTTTACTCCATTTTATTTTCAATAAATTTGAAAATAGAACTGGGAAATCTTTTATTTATTTTTTTTTAGGAAAATGAATCAACATAAGTTGAAAGTCCTTAACATTATTTCTAATTTCAGTGATACTGTAAAATCTAAGAATAGGACAACTAGGCTCATTATTAGAACTCATTTAAAATTCAAGTGGTCAGTTTTTTTTTCTAATTATTCTTTGGTTTTAGATGGGTATTTATTGCTTAGATTATAATCTATCTTTTTAAAGAACTTTCATATATGGCAAATGGGATCCTTGGTTTCATTAATGCAAGAGAGATATTAAAGAATTAGGATAATTATATTCATAGAGAAAAATGCAAGGATGTTGTATTTTCATGATATAATTTTTAAAAACTTTATTTTATGAAGTAATTGTGTTGTCTCAGGAACTCTGTTACAATAGCAAGTCAATTAGACTATTAACTCTTGAAACTGAAATAATTCCAAAATAAATATTCTGGAATCCTAAAGACATTTGTATTGTTTCTTGTATTTTGGGGGCCACATCCAACAGTGATCAGGGCTTACTCCTTGCTCTTCATTCAGAAGTAACTCCTGCTGGGACTTGGGGCAGGACCAGGTGGGACCTCGTGGTATATGTGGTGCTGTGGATTGAAACTGGGTCAACGGCATGCAAGGCAGGTACCTTACCCACTGTACTATCTCTCAAGTCCCCCCCCCCACCTTTTTTTAATAGGACCACAGCATTCCATGCCCTTGTGAGAAGCTTCCAGTGATGCTTTGATCCTTTACCTGCCAGTGATCACCTCCCTTTTCCCCCAACCCTCCAGCCCTCCTTCAAGCCCTACTTTTTATTTTCTTTGTTTTGACTTTGGGATCTAACTTTGCAGTGCTCATGGGCTACTTCTGTTTCTGGGTATTGCTCCATGGACTATGTAATTCCATGGATTGAACTCTGGTCTCCGTCATGCAAAGCCTATGCTCAGCCTGTTGAGCTAGCACTGGCCCAAATGGTGATTCCTGGTCTGGTGTGCTGACCTACTATTTGGGGATGTTTAGGGACTCTATTAGGTGGTGT